TGGCTTCCCATCACCTGCGGGGAAGGTGTTTGATCATGCTTGTCATTAAGAGACAGCGCTCAACCCTCGGTGTCTTGGACAACCAGGCAGTGATGAAATGAAGCCAATAAAAACCAGGAGGTGGCAGATTGACAGGAATCAGTGCAGAGATCAAGCTTGACAAGCGTGAGTGAAACTGAGGTTAGTTGACGGAAGAAAATCGGAAGCCTTATGTATTATCTGGGGACAGAAAGGAAAAAAATATGCAACTATGTTTGTAAACAGCGTCTATAACACTATGTGAATATGTATATAAGAAGTTTAAACATAGAGATTAATGCAATTTGATATACTATGACTTGCATATAATGTGCATGTTTGCATTTGTATGTGCTTATATTCTATTGATTATTGAGATCGAAAAGCCCTGACAAGCAGAGAAAAAAAAATCATGTTTATAAGACTATGGCTTCATTAAAGTTGTACATAAGTTTTAGAGACTTTCCTGAGAGAAATAACACAATGATTTTCCTTAGCAGGGTCAGCTGGGGTACTGGAGCCTATCCAGCATGCACTTGAGTCCACCAATGTCACAAGGTGCGTATCATGATAGAACAGAGCAAGCCAGTTATTCACAACAGACAGGGTAAAGGTCTCCAATAACCATAACTGCATGTCTTGGACGGTCGGAGAAGAGCGCGGAGCGAGCGATGTTTGTTGAAACCCGAGATCGAGCAGGATGGAGGAATCCATGCATATTTATTGCCTTTTAATCAATAGTGACAGCTGTAAAATGACAGGAGGAAAGGGAGAGAGAGGGGATGACATGGCAGCAAGGGCACAGGTTGAGAGGTCGAACTCATGGCCACTGCAGCATGAACTCCCTTAGTACATGGGGCGCCGCTCTAGCAGTAACCAGGTGAGGGTGTTTGAGAAATTATAATATTAGTGTTCTTTTCCATGATGATTGAAATTTCTGTTCTGTTCCTTCTAGTGTCACAAACATTCGCCGATGGACATTTAACAGTTAATGGGACTTTGTGTAGAATAGGGTTAAAATACAATTCATTTAGGTATGGTGGTAGTGGGGTTGAGGTTAGAGATATAGAAAGTCAGAGGAAGTGCTGCACGATCAATATAAACATTGCAGCATTTGTGGTGCTTGATATGTTCCAATACACAGTTATTGTCTGCATTCATTTCACACACTCATATGTTGCTGTCCGGCACCTCTAACACTCCTAAAGCTGCTGCTACTGTATTATCAACAAGAGCAGAGTGAAGTGCTAAACACATGATGTTCATTAGATATGTATTTTACAGAAACAGGCCCCTGACCATTTACCAGCTCTTGTCTGTTTGTATCAGGCTCTTCGATAATTAAACTTCATCAGGGTGTTTGCAGCTTGGGATATATTCAGAAAACCTTGTTGTCAAGGTCCTCTAACTGCAGGCAGTGTGACAAAGGAGATGGGCAAACAAGCTTCCTTGAGAAGCCAAATATGGTTCAGCTGGAACTGAAACGATGATATGAAATGGATAATCAATTTGTTAATCAACAGAGAATTGATTGCAAAATATTAGGACATTTGATTGTGTAAGTAGGTTTTAAAAACTTTTTTGCAGTAATTGGACACCACTTCTCACTCACGTCTTCATACCGCTTGTCCGGGATCGGATCAAAACTTCCCTTCCTAGCCACATGGCCAACTCTGACGGGGGATCCCGATGGCGTCCCAGGCGCAGTGTTAAGATATAATCTCTCCACCTGGGTCCTTCGGGCCCGTTGGCCTCCTCCCAGTAATTGGACAGTTCTATTTTATTTAAGTTATATTATAATAAATTTATAATATAATCACAATATAATATTAATAGTAATAGTATTAATATTATAAGTAAAAATGGACAAAAGAGAATCACTGGTTTCCAGCTTCTCAAATTAAAAAAGGAGATTCTCTTCAATGATACATCAAAAGGCTAGATCCGTATATTGATACTTGAAGAAAGTGCGGAGAGGAGAGAGAGAGCGGAGGAGAGCGAGAGGTCCCAAGAGCGAGAGAGACGAGTCATGGAGTGTGAATGTAGTAAAACTATGGTTATATAATGTGTGGTGTGTGGGTGTGTGAGGAGAGTGTGCGTGGTGTGTGTGTGTGTGTGCTTGTTGGGTGTGGTAGATTGTCCATCCAGATGACCAACATTAATGATGAGGACCGTGGGCACTCCTCCAAAAGCGGCAGACCCTGTGACGACACTGGCTCCGCGGAGTGTGCGCGTTAGCATCTCTCAGCTAGTGCTGATGTTCCTCCTGTCCGAACGAGTCCAAGGGACAGGCTCACAACATCCAGCTCCACAGCGTCCCCCCTGCCACAGGGGCGCTGTCGTCAGCAGAACAGCTCAGGAGGTGTGCCAAGTCAGCCACTGGACCGATACCTGAAGGAAAAACAGGAATGACAGAATCAATCTAACCATTATGGTCCACTGTGGGCTTTTTGATGACACACTCCTGTTAGAATCTCTCAGCGTGGCCCGGACAGCGACATCGCTGATTGTGATACTGGCAATAACTGTAAATTAGTGAAGTGTCTTTTAATTAAGCCACTATCCAGATAACGTTTAAAGCGACACTTTGCTGTAACTTTTGGCTGTGTAACAGTGGATCACTGGTCAGCTCACAATTGACAATTTCACGTCTAGATCGGCTAAGTATTCTGTTAGCTAGTTTTGTGTGAGCTTATTTGCGTATGAGCATTTAGCTTATATATGGTTACAGTCAGCTAAGCAGTAAAGTCGGGCTGTTTAAATGGTCAGTGGTGACATTGAAGAGATCGTAGATGAATGATTATAAAAATTAGTTCGGCTGCTGGGTGAGGGGCCTTAGTGTGTGGTGTGGTGATTCTGTGGCCACCGTAGTTTTCTTCGTAAGGATGGTTGTAAGGGTAGTGGTGAGCATGAGTTGTTTGGCATTAATTATGACCTACTAAGGTGTTAGGGATGTTAATTTGTGCCATGCATCCCATCTTTACTAATATTACGTTGATACCCCTAGTTTTATTTACATAGACTGAGTATTATTAAATTATGTTATGTTTATATGGATGATATCTGTGATTAGAGTGGTTGTTTTTTTTGGTTTCGTTGTGTTGCCATATGAGGCAATCGGAATATGAGCATTTATTGATATCGTTCTTGGTTTTTCTGTTTTCGGCAGACATAGTGTCTACCACTTTACTCTAAGTGCAGTTGGTGGATAGCCTTTGCAAGAGATCTCAATTCAATGACCCACATGTCGACTTATATGCTCTATTTGGATCCTCTGGTTCTTTTAGTCTGACAAGGATGGTAATATCGGGTAGACGTCCAGTTCTATGTAATGTGACAAACTGATTGGTATGGACGGAGGATGTATACTGCTATGCTTTTTAAAAACTCTTTTAACATGCAAACGATGCGTAACAAAGGCCATGAACTATTGTCTCATTGATGATGCATTTATTTCTGTTGTTGTGAGATATTGAAGAGACTCAGTTTAAGAGTTAAAAAGTCTCTAATACCACATTCCTTGCCCATGAAATTCAACCTGTATGGAGGTTGAATCTGCAACCTGTTGTCGTCCCATCTATTGGGTCGATATGGTCTGGGTATCCTGTCAGTAAGAGGAAGCATCAGGTACAGTGATTATGATTCAGATTCTATTCTCTGGAACTGTTGCAATTTTTTACCACAGGACTGTAATGGAGTAGTGGTGTTTTTCAGGTGTTCTGAACCATCTGGGTCCTCCTTATTGGCAACACACTACTTTCTCCTCACTTTTGCAGTCGTATTGAGCTGTTATATTGACACTAAATATTAATATCATATTTCATTAAATAATATATTTTTTATTCTCGGTATCGTCGTGCCGTGGTATAGTATGATTTTATATGTAATATTTTATATGTTGTTTTTTATACGATAATCACACAAAGTGAACAAGACATTGTGACATATTGCCAGATCGTGGAGTACACTCGAAGAACTGTTTAAAACGATGGCTCCGGATGTATATATATGTGCTGTGAGGCTCAGTATATTCTGGATAAGAACGGAGGTGTCGATCTATATAGAGAAGTGAAAAGTCACTCTTCATAGACAGATGGCTGGATAGTGCTCTTTGTCTGTGGTACTGGATTCTGCTGCAAACACCAAGATTTTATTGTTCAAAGCACATGAATCCTTTATACATTTTCTGAAGATAAAGTCATATGCATTGCTCTAAATTAACAAACTACTGCTGCTGTCAGTAATTAGGAGGTTATACATTTGTATAAATCCTCTTAGATTAGATTACACATTGTCTATGTGACTGGCAGCTGTCACATATACTCAGAGAACTATGGCATGAATGATTTGTCTTTGTGTCACAAAATGTTGGTTAAATTTTAGTTAGCAAATACATTTGGGAGAAATGTTTATATTTAAACAAAATCAACAGAAATCATGACATTCACCGAGGTTATTGAAAATAGGTTAGTAGCAGTTCTCTTACTTTGTGTCTGAGGGTCCAGGTTCATTACTGAA